GGCTGGCAGCAGACATTGCATTTAATTCAAGTGACAGCCATTTCAATGTTCCACAGTTCACCTAGGTCTGAGCACAACGCTGCATTTATAGGCAAAAACAACCAACTGGTTTCATTTCAGTAAACTCTTTTTGTGGGTATTTAAAATTTTTCATTTCAAAGGGATGTTGGCCTTGCTGCATTTTTTTTTCTGGCCTCCCCAAAGACCCATCAGGGCCCTTGATTTAATCCCTACCCACTTAGCCTAGAACACCATTCTTCCACTAGGAGACTGTTCCCCAAATAATATTATTATAGTATAGTATTATGCAGAAAATGGGCATTAAAAACCTTGCCATTCTTCAGTACAGAACCCCACACCAGAGGCTGAGGAAAACAGGATTTTAACTAGAATATGTTTTTGTTCTATTTTAATCCATGCATTTTTATCTCCTTAATAATTGTTGGGTATAGTTTCCAAATCAATCAATAACTTCCTTAGGTTTATCCTTATGTACATCTTCCCTGGTCGCTCAGACGGTAAAGAATCCTTCTGCAATGCAGGAGACCCTGGTTCGATCCCTGGGTCAGGAAGATACCCTGGAAAAGGAAATGGCAACCCACTCCAGTACTCTTGCCTAGAGAAGCCCATGGACAGAGGAGCCTGGCAGGCTATAGTCCACAGGATTGAAAAGAGTCAAGACACCACTTTCAGTTTCACTTCACAGTGCCCCTTCCACATATGTAAGATGAAATACAGGCCACATCCTTCCTGGTGACAAAGACTGCGAGACCCACATCCCAGTTTATCCACCTCGGTGCCTTCCAAGGTGCTAAAACCAAACTGCTCACCCTAGAAAACAGATGCCTCAAGAAGTAACAGCAGTTCCTCTTTTAGGTATATACTCAAGAGAAATGAAAACATACCCACAATTCATGTGCAAGATTTTGTGGACATATGTTTTGTCTGGTCTGCAGCAGGGGCCAAGGGGAGGCCTGGTGGGAGTATGAATGGACAGTAAATGACTGGGTAGGGCAGGGCCTCTCAACAATAAATGAGCCAATTGGAGGCCTGGAGGCTAGGCCTCTGTTGTGAGCGACCTGTGCTAGTGGTAAAGAACCCACCTGCCAATGCAGGAGAGGAGGGTTTGATTCTTGAGGGTTTGATCCTCGAGTCGGGAAGATTCCCCTGGAGAAGGAAATGGCGACTTACTCCAGTATTCTTGCGTGGAGAATCCCATGGTCAGTGGAGCCTGGTCCATAGTATCGCAAAGAATCGGACATGACTGAAGTGACTGAGCACAAGGTAGAGGTGTGACTGTTTTTTTCTCAGATGGATAAACAATTGTCCAAACACCATTTACTAGAGTCACCTTTTCCCTCTCTCTTCCATGTCTGTTAATGTTCCAATACCACTGTGAAGTTCTGCAGACAATCTGACTTCTGGTAGGGCAAGTCCTTCCATTGTATAATTATCTTCCAAAATTTTTATGGCTCTGCAGGCCCATTTTGTCTTCCAAATGAGTATCAGAATGAGCTAGTCAAACTCCATTCAAGAAGTGATGCTGAGATTCTGATTGAAATGGCCTAGAATTTACAGATTATTTTAGAAAGAACAGACACTTTTAACACTAAATTCACCTATCAGGAACTATGGTATCTGTTTCCTTTCATTCAGACCTTTTATGTCTTTCAGTAAAATCTTAAACTTTTATTCAAATAGATCTTCCACAATTTTTTTTAAGACCATTCTGAGGCTGTATTCTAAGACTTAATCTCAGATCTATTCTAAATTTTTACTTAGCTTTATAATGATTTATATTGTGATTATTTATTACATTTTCTAAGTAATTGTTACTTGTGTGTACATTTTTTAGTGTTGGTCTTGTTTGTTTTTGTTTTTTTAATGAAGCATATTTGACTTTCCCATGGACAAAGGAGCCTGATGGGCTACAGTCCATGGGGTAGCAAAAAGAGTTGGACAAGACTGAGCAACTGAGCATGCATACATAGTTGATTTACAGTGTCATGTTTCAAGTGTACAGCACAGTGACTCATTTATAAATATATATTTGTATTATATGTATTCTTTCTCAGATTCTTTTCCCTTATAGGTCATTACAAAAGAGTATATTCCCCGTGCTATACAGTAGGTTCCTCTTGGCTATCTATTTTATATATAATAGTGTGTACATGTTAATACAACAGACTGGTTCCAAATCAGGAATGGAGTTCATCAAGGCTGTATATTGTCACCCTGCTCATTTAACTTATATGCAGAGTACATCATGTGAAATGTCGGGCAGGATGAAGCACAAGCTGGAATCAAGATTGCTGGAAGAAATATCAATAACCTCTGATACGCAGATGACATCATATTTAGAGTAGAAAGCAAAGAACTAAACAGCCCCTTGATGAAAGTGAAAGAGGAGAGTGAAAAAGTAGGCTTAAAACTCAACATTCAGAAAACTAAGATCATGGCCTCTGGTCCCATCACTTCATGGCAAATAGATGGGGAAACAATGGAAACAGTGACAGACTTTATTTTTTTGGTGATAGACAGGGAAGCCTGGCACGCTGAAGTCCATGGGGTCACAAAGAGTTGGACATGACTGAGCAACTCAACTGAACTGTTAATGATCTTACTTAATGAGCAACTCAACTGAACTGTTAATGATCTTACATTTATAGACTAGGTAGTTTTATTTTGTGTACATAAATTATACATACAGTTTTATACCTGGTTTGATTAGTTAACATTATCTCTTGGGAATTTTCCCATCTTGATACACAAAAATATTACAGATATTTCTGGTTTTGTTTTAAACCTCATACTGTTTCATAGTAAAAACAAGCCATTATCTATACATTCCTGTACTGGTGGATATTTAATTTCAATGCTTTGTTTTCATTGCAATGCTGTACTGAGCATTTTTTAAATGTTTACCTTTGTTCATTTATGTGATGTGTGACTATAGTTCTAGGTTGGAAATACTCACCAAAGAGCCTGTGAGTTTCAACTTTTAATGGGCACTGAGACTGTCTGTAAACATCCTATCCCAGAAGCCACCCACGAGGGTGTCCATTTCTACCACAGCTGCCAACACATGACACTCAGGACTGTTCGTGGCCCCTTGGACCATTTGTCTGCAATGTGAAGAACAGACTATGTTTTCCTCCCCTTCTTGTTGGCTGTTCTTTTCTTCTAGAACTTCTGTGAGATGAGAATACAGTAGATCTTCAGATTCCTCCATGACCTTCAGCTGCTGTTTCATACTTGCCATTTCTACTGTATCTGGCAGATTCCTCAGATTTATCTTCTTGTTCAACAAGTTCAACTTAAACTGTTTACTGCTCCATCTAGCCCACTTACTATACTGTTTTTATCTCAGTGATATCATTTTTTATTTCCAAGTTATTTTGTTGACCGTTTTTAAAGAAGTAATAACCTCTCACATCTCTGTGTAATTAGGCTAAAACAGTCTGCCCTATTTGCTTTATTACCTCTACCCCTTGGTTCTATAAGTAACCAATTAAAAAAATTTTTTTATAGAATCTTTATTCATCTTTTGGTTGTGTTGGGTCTTTGCTGCTGCATGCAGGCTTTCTCTAGTTGTGGTGAGCAGGAGCTACTCTCTGGTTGTGGTGTGCAGGCTTCTCGTTGTGGTAGCTTCCCTTGTTGCAGGGCATGGGCTCTAGCGTGAGGGCTCTATAGCTGTGGCACACAGTCTTAGTTAGTTGTCCCACAGCCTGTGGAATCCTCCCAGACCAGGAAGTGAACCCATGTCCCCTGCATTGGCAGGTGGATTCTTAACCACTGGTCCATCAGGGAAGTCCAGTATTCAAGTTTTTACTACAAGGTACCCTGGATGTTGCAAAAATAGTACAGAGAGTTTCTGTGTGTTGGCATCTTTCCCTAAATGTTAGCATCAGAAATAACCATAGTACGATTATCAAAAACAAAAAATGAACATTATACAACATGAAGTGGTTTTCTCCTAAAGATATTGCATGCCACAACTAAAGATCCCACATGCTACAAGGAAGACTGAAGATCCTGAGTGCCACAACTAAGACCCAGTGCAGTCAAGTAAAATGAAAAAAAGAATAGATCTTAAAATATTGTATATTCATACAATGAAATATTGTTTTGCCATAAAAAGGAATGAAGTAGTAATATATGTTGCAACATAAATGAACCTTGAAAACATTATTCTAAGTGAAAGAAACCAAGACATAAAAGGGCACATATTGTCTGATTCCTTTTATAGGAAATGTCCAGAAGAGGCAAATCTATAGAAACAGAAAGTAGATTAGTGGTTGCCAGATGCTGAGAGAAGGGGAGAATGAAGAATGACTGCTTAATAGTAACCAGGTTTCTTTTTGGCCTGATGAATCAGATAGTGGTGATGGTTATACAACCCTGTGAATGTATTAAAAATTATTGAATAATATACTTTGAAATGGTTAAAATGGTGAATTTTTTCTTATTTGAATTTTACCTTAATTAAAAAAAAAAGTTTTACATAGAGTGAGTCTTTGGAAAAAAAATTTAAATAAGTCTTTATTTTTTGAAGATATAAAGATGACAAAATATCCTGGTGTAGGGTTTGCTTTTAAACTACTTCAGGGGGACTTCCCCGGTGGTTCAGTGGTGAAGACTCCACATTCCCAATGCAGGGGGCCTGGGTTCAATCCATGGTCAGGGAACTGGATCCCACATGCCAACTATTAACAAGATCCCACATGCTACAATGAAGAAACAGTACAAATAAATAAATAAAAATAAATATTTATAAAAAAATAAATTAAACTACTTCAGGATGGAAGAGAGGAAACAAAATTCATCATGACTTGATTACTGAAGCTAGATGATGGGGACATGAGTATTTGCTACTGTTCACAATTTCTGTATTTGTTTGAAATTTTCTAAGCCCAGTCTTTTAAAAGTTTTAAAATACCCATCAATTCTATTCCTAAGTATATACCCAGGAGGAATTAAAGTTTATGTCCACACAATGATATGTACCCAAATGCTCACAGCAGCTTTATTCATAACAATCAAAACCTGGAAAACCTAGAAATAGTTCAAATGTAAATGTCCATCAACAGGTGAATAGACAAACTCTGGTTCATTCATATAATGGAATACTACTTGGTAATAATATAAATGAACTTCTAAATACATGCAACAACATGGATGCAAACACTGAGTGAATCAAGTCCTATATGAAAGATTACATATTGTGCACTTTCAATTATATGACATTCTAGAACTTGCAAAATCAATCTATAGTTTTAGAAGTCAGGATAGTGATTCCCTTTGTGGGCCAGTGAGTGGAAAGGAGCACAGAGATCTTCTGGGAGGACTGGAAGTGTTCTTTCAATATTTCTCCGTCTATCTAAGTGCTGCTGATGTGTCCTCTTTTATATATGCGAGCATGCTCAGTCACTCAGTCGTGTCCGACTCTAACGAGTCGTAGCCTGCCAGGCTCCTCTGTCCATGGGATTGTCCAGGCAAGAATACTGGAGTGGGTTGCCATTGCCTACTCCAGGGGATCTTCCCAACCCAGGGAACGAACCTGAGTCTTTCAGTATCTCCTGCACTGGCAGGCAGATTTGTTACCACTGAGCCACCTGGGAAGCCCCTTCTTTTCAGTATAAATACTAACAAATGCCATCATTAAGCCTGATCCATGTTGTGCACCTTGGCACCTATGCCCTGGCACTGGCCCTGTCCATGGAAGACACCTGCATGTGCAGAGCCCAATCCTGGAAGCCTCTGCCGTCAGTGCACCTTCTGGTGCATCTGCAGGTGGACTCTCTGACTAAAGCCCTTCCCACATATGGCACAGGGGTAGGGCTTCTCCCCTGTGTGCACCCTCTGGTGCCTCTTGAGGGCTGAGTGATGCCTGAAGTCCCTGCCACAAGCCGCACATCTGTAGGGCCGCTCACCCGTGTGGACCCTCCGGTGGATACCCAGGTCCTTGCTCCAGCTGAAGCACTTCCCACAGGCCTCGCACCGGAACGGCCTCTCTCCCGTGTGAACACGCTGGTGCAGGTAGAGGTTGGCTCTCTGGCTGAAGCCCCGGCCGCATGTGTCGCACAGATAGGCCTTGTCTCCTGCATGGCCCTGCTGGTGTCGAGCCAGCGCAGAGCGCGAGGTGAAGCGCCTGTCGCATACGTCACAGGCATGGGGCTTCCTTCCCGTGTGGACACTCTGGTGGATCTGCAGGGCTGCCCTGCGGCTGAAGTCCTTGCCACACACATGGCAGCTGAAGGGTTTCTCACCTGTGTGGATACGCTGGTGGATGGAGAGGTTGGAGCTGCGGCTGAAGTCCTTCCCGCACACACTGCATCTATAGGGCTTCTCACCTGTGTGCACTCGCCGATGGATGGACAAGTTGGAGCTCCGGCTGAAGTCCTTCCCACATTCCTCACACGTGTGAGGTTTCTTTCCCATGTGCTCCTTCTTGTGCCTTCTCAGAGCAGATCCTGAGTGGAAAACTCCGGAATACTCCATGCATCCGTATGGCTCGTCTTCTGGGAGCAGCACAGGAAGGTTAAGTTGCACTGTCCTTTCACTGAAGGCTTTTCCACACCCAGCATATGGAGGCTTCTCTCCAATATGGGTTTGCTGGTGAATTAGGTTTCTGAGCTGGCTGAAGTCTTGGCCATGCTGGGGACAGTTATAGAGTTTTTCTCCTGGAGATACTGGCCAAGACAGGATCCCATCATTCTCATCCCTGACTCCTAGGACAAAGGAAAATAGATGATGAAAGTGAGCAGGGGGGAGGCTTCCCTGGTGGTCCAGTGGTTAAGAATTCACCCTGCAGTGTAGGGAACATGGGTCTGATTCCTGGTCTGGGAAGATCCTACATGCCACAGAGCAACTAATCCCTTGCACCACAACTACTGAGCCCATACTCTAGAGCTGGCAAGCTGCACCTACTGGCCTGCATGGCTAGAGCCTGGGCTCTGCAACAAGAGAAGCAATTGCAGTGAGAAGCTGATACACCACAACTAGAGAGTAGCCCTCACCTGCCACAGCTAGAGAAAGCCCGTGTATAGCAACAAAGATACCACACAGCCAATAAATAGGTAACAAATAAAATATATATATATTAAGAAAAAAAAAAGAAAGTGAGCAGTCGTTTTGTCTAAGGCTGCACAGTGCTCCTGAACACTCTCAGGCAGTAGTGGTCAGGCAAAGAAACTTCACTGAATAAATAAGTGCTGCTGCTGGTCTCTATCTTTCCTACTTTACATCTTCCATTTCTGCTTCAAGGGTAAGGGGAAGATCATTGGGAACCTTTTCCTTAGTAGTTGCTGTTCAGTCACTAAGTTGGGTCCAGCTCTTTGTGACTCCATGACTGGCAGTATGCCAGGCTTCCCTGTCCTTCACCATCTCCCACAGTTTGCTCAAACTCATGTACACTGAGCCATCCAACCATTTCATCCTCTGTCACCCCCTTCTCCTCTTGCCCTCAATCTTTCCCAGCCTCAGGGTCTTTTCTAATGAGTCAGCTCTTCGCATCAGGTGGCCAAAGTATTGGAGCTTCAGCTTCACCATCATCCTTCCCATGAATATTCAGGGTTGATTTCTTTTAGAACTGATTGATCTCCCTGCTGTCCAAGGGACTTTCAAGAGTCTTCTCCAGCACAATTAGAAAGCATCAATTCTTCAGCACTCAGCCTTCTTAATGGTCCAACTCTTACATCCATACCTGACTACTGGAAAAACCATAGCTTTGACTATAGGGATCTTTGTCGGCAAAGTGATATCTTTGCTTTTTAATACACTGTCTAGGTTTGTCAGAGTTTTTCCTTAGTTAAGGAAATGTTACTAGAAACACCAAGTCAAATTCCATGAGCTACAAAGGGGTTAATGCTGTCAAAGCATAGTTATCAAAAAGTTAAAAATAGAACTTTCATACAAATATGGAGTGAACATCTGTCAAAAGTATTTTGTTAATATATTTATTTATTTGCATCAGGTCTTAGTTATGGCATGTGAACTCCTAGTTGTGGCATGTGGGATCTAATTCCCCAACCAGGGACTAAACCTCGGCCCCCCTGCATTGAGAGCACAAAGTCTTAGCCACTGGACCACCAGGGAAGTCTCTGTCAAAAGTTATAATGAGGAACCAATAAGATGGTAAGGTTGGTTCCAAAGGCATTTCAGGAGTTTAGGCATTTAATGTACATGCATATACATACATACATACACACATACATATATAAATATATACACATATATGTTTGTTTTACCTCCAATCAAGTAAATATTTAATATTTTCAATTAAATTATTGGCATAAAAAGTCAAATAATACATATTTTTAAAATTGCTACCCACCCCTTCGTGGATTCATAGAATTATTAAAGGCATTTTCTCCTGGCTGACTGGTACTCACCTGAATAGGAACTTCTTGATATTGTTTCTTCCATCCACACATCATCTTCTTGTTCAAAATGGAAAATCATTTCTGGTTCAGACAGCAGATGCCCTGCTTGAGGGGAAAGACACGTTGATTAGGGCAATGTGGTATGGACAAGGACCCTCCCACAAGTCAAATCTTATCTTCTGGTATTCATAAAAGGTGAATAAAACATTGGGAAAGGTGAATAAAACTGTTAGGCATCAAAACCACATTTTATATTTATGTGTATTTTATACACACACACACACACACACACACACACAGAGGCATGCAAACTCAGTGGCTCAGTCATGGCCAACTATTTGTGACCTCATGGACTGTAGCCCACCAGGCTCCTCTCTCCATGGGATTTTCCCAGGGAGAATACTGGAGCGGGGTGTCATGCCCTTCTCCGAGGATCTTCCTGACCCAGGGATTGAACCTGAATCTCTTGTGGCTCCTGCACTGGCTGGCGGATTCTTTACCACTGAGCCACCTGGAAATCCCACATATATATACACACACACACAAACACACATACATATATAAGTACATATACACAAAAAGACACAAATAAATAAATACATATTTTGCTTCTCAAAACAAATTATTCTAGGAGTTCCAGGGAGCCTCAGCGAAGAGGCCTATTTGCAATTTCTGTGTGTGCTGAGTTGCTTCAGTTGTGTCCAACTCTTTGTGATTCTATGGAACCATAGCCCGTCAAGCTCCTCTATCCATGGGATTATGCCCTCCTCCAGGAGATTTTCCCAACCCAGCAATCGAACCTGCATCTCTTACATCTCCTGCATTGGCAGGTGGGCTCTTCACCACTAGTGCCACGTGGGAAGCCCTATTTACAATATACAACAGTAATAATTCTCAGTGGGTTGAACAGGCAGTAATGATTCTGTGCCCAAATTCGATACCCAGGCATCGAACCCAGGTCTCCTGCACTGCAGGCAGATTCTTTACCACCTGAGCCACCAGGGAAGCCCTGTCTTATCTCTTTAGTCTCCTTTAATTTGGATAGGAACTGGCATCTCTTGCCTTCATCTCAGGTATCTTTATGCTTTCTCAAATCTGATACCCACTACCATAAGGGATCTGGAATATGTGGACCTCTAAATGCAAATCCCCTCAGGATTTACTCCATACAACTGAACCAGCAGGAGATCAGGTGGGTTCTGGAAGATGTGATTCTCACCCAAGGAGATGAGATTCCCAAAGTTCTCCAACATCACTTCTCGGTACAGGTGCCTCTGAGAAGGGTCCAGATGCTCCCACTCCTCCTCGGTAAAGTCGACAGCCACATCCTTGAATGTCACTAGCTCCTAAAAGAACAAACGTGGTTATCCTCAGGTATACCCATTCCCACAGAGGAATGCAGCTGACGAGCACCAATGAATTCTGACATCTATATGTGGTCCTGGCAGTCTCCAGGGTCCTGAATCAGACTCACTTAGGCACACAACCATGCATCTGTTTGTATTATGTAGAATAGGGGTCCCCAACCTCTGGGATCTAATGCCTGATTATCTGAGGTGGAGCTGATGTAACAATAACAGAAATAAAGTACAATAAATGTAACGTTGCTCAAACCATCTTAAAGTCATCCCCCACCCCCACCCCACCCAAGTCTATGGAAAAACTGTCTTCCATGAAACAGGTCTCTGGTGCCAAAAAGATTGGGGACAGCTAATATAGAACATGGAAAAGATAAAAGAGGCAGATTTAACAAAAAGAAAAAACAAAACTCTTCAGCCCTTAAAGTTTCTCTGGTAAGAAGAGTCAACTTCAACCAGAGTACATGAAAGACTATATAATTCCAGAGGTGCTATCCACACAACAAATCTCAATTTTGAGATTTAGTCAGGGAAGGGTCTGGAGAGAGAATCTAGGGTAGACTGGGGCCAAGAGGGCAGGTATCCTGGAGAAAGCCAGTTACTAGCCTTGTGGGATGGTTAAAATGTGAATAGAGGAAAGTGGGGAGTTCCAGCTGGCAAGAAAAGGGAGCAGACAGTTGTGTGGGAAGGAGCAAGTCAAAGATCTAAAATAAGGACTCTGGTTAACGAGACACGTTATCTAGGAAACCTCCCTTTGATGATTATATACTAACAACGTTTATTTTGGACTCTGAATTCCCATTCACACATCCACAGTAGAAAGATATACAAACTCTTGGGGTACTCTTTTGCCCCCTTCTGATGCCTATGTCAGAAGCTTTCCCTATCTCCTTTATACTTTAATAAAACTTTATTACACAAAAGCTCTGAGCGATCCAGCCTCGTCTCTGGCCCCGGATTGAATTCATCTCCTCCAGAGGCCAAGAATCCCACGTCTCATCGTTCAGCAACAATCTTTCATCTTGGGGGCTCGACCAGGATCCTTCAGGACAAGATGGGAGCTAACAATTCCAGCCTCACTCCTTTGAACTATATCCTGAAAAACTGGGATAGATTTGATCCCCAGGGCTTAAAGAAGACACACCTGGTCTTCCTATGTGATACTGCATGGCCGCGGTACCCACTGGAGGACGGCGAACGGTGGCCAGTTGGAGGGTCTCTTAAGTATAATACTGTTGTACAATTAGACCGGTTCTGTAAAAAGCAAGGGAAATGGGTAGAAGTAGCGTATGTGTTGCCCTTTTTCTCTCTGCGAAACATGCCAGACTTATGTCCTAAGGGTGTAGATTTGGGTGTAAAACCTTCCGNTTTACTTTTTTTCCTCTACATTCCTTAGGATTATATAACAATAATGTATCCTGCCTGAGGACAGTCTCTGGCTAATTCTGTTATCTTAAAACATAAATTATGGGAGTAGGTCTGGTCTTTACAAGGATGTATCCTGCCTGAGGACAATTTTTGGATTAAACCTTCTAGCCAACTCTGTTATCTTAAAATATAAATTATGGGAGTGGGTCTGGTGAGGTCTTTGCAACCTCCAGACATTCTTTGGACTCATTGGAGAGTATATAACTCCATTGCTAACACTAGCAAAAGGGGTACTCTTTTGCCCCCTTCTGATGCCTATGTCACTAGCAAAAGGGGTACTCTTTTGCCCCCTTCTGATGCCTATGTCAGAAGCTTTCTCTATCTCCTTTATACTTTAATAAAACTTTATTACACACACACACACACAAAAAAAAAAGAAAGATATACAAACTCTTGGTACAGTCGCATGAAGGATTAATATTCAGTAGCAGTTCCCAAAGTGTGGTTCAGGGACCCATGAAGATCTCCAAGCTCCTTTCAAGTGTGTCTGTACAGTTAATATTATTTTCAATAATAATTCTAAGACATTATTGGGCTCATCCACTATCATTCTCTTACAGTTAAAGAGAAGAATTTCTCAGAGGCTACATGATGTGCAACAAAGAAACTGAGGAAGCAGATATAAGATTACAGCTGTTTTCTATTAAGGCAGATATTAAAGATGTTAGCAAAAATATAAAACATTTCCATTCTTAAAATATTTTTTTGTTTGGAAGATAAGGGTTTTTTTTAATGTGATATTAACTATAATGGATTAATTTTTTAATGGATTAACAAATACTTTCAAGTTTTGTTAGTTTGAACTTCTGATCTGGTAATATTGATAACCCACATAACAAAAGCCACTTTCAAAAGTGTAAAGGGGTCCTGATACCAAAAAGCTTTGGAAATTACTGCTCTACAAGAAACGAAAATAAACTGTATATACATGAAATGACATAGATCGGTCTCACAACAAATATTCAGGAAAGACAGGCACAGAAGAGTACTGTATGTATCCAGCTTCTATTTAAAAAGTTCAAAATCATATGAAAAGTCAGAATAGTGGCTATCATTATGGGGAAGCAGGGGTTCTTTCCTAGGGAGGGGTTTGTTCAGAGTATAAAGAGAAGACACAGAATGGCTATGAGGGGCAATCAAGGATGGTGCAAGGATCAAACAACAGAAGGGTATCACACCGCAGCAGCCTGGTCTCTGGTCCATTTTTGGCCTAAATGTTAAGCCTGCCAAATAAAGAATAAGGAAAAGAGGATTTGCAAAGGGCTATTAACTCACAAAGTGGGGATGATGGGAGCACATGGGGGCAGGCAGAGTATCAAGCCAAACTACATGGTCCTTTGCGCAAAGCTGAAGCACAAAAAAACAGGTGATTCTGGGTAGAAAACCCAGAAATCCTTCTTTGAACTGCCTTCTTCTCTGAAATAGTTATCTCCTATATACCATACAGACTTTTTTTTTTTGAGAGGTGAGCTGTTTTTTATGTTTTTTTTGTTCACAAATTGTTTCTCATTTAGGTTAAATATCCAGTGAACCAACATGAACCCTAAGTATACCGGTTGATGAGTTTTGACAAAAGAATACCCCTGAGTAACTCACATACCAATCATGACATAGATCATTTCCATCACTCCAGAAAGTTCCCTTGTGTCGTTTGCTCCTAATTGATTCCCTGCCCTGACTCCCTGCTCTCAACAACCAATGATCTGCTGTCACTGTAGATTAATCTAGCCTGTTCTAGAATTCCATATAAATGGAATTGATACTGACTGGGATTCTTGGCCTTTCCCAATCAACAGAAAATGACAAGAGGCTAGGCAAGAAGTTCAGGCAAGGCCTTAGTGGGTTCCCTGCAGCAGCAGAGGAGAACAAAAGCAAGTAAAGGCTTCCCTGGCTCGCTCACTGGCTCCCCCGAGCTGGTTCCTTATACAGGATGAGAGTAGGGGTGTGTCCAGTGGTTGGGCAGGAGAAACGGCTCAGGTGTTCTGTCTAGCCCTTTGTTGGTGCTGTGTGCAAGGGGCGTGTGTAAGACCTGCTTTCACTCCCAACACCCTGGTTTTGCTCCGAGCTCTTCAGAGCTGGCAGTTGGGTTTTTTGCCCTTTTTGTATCTTTTGTCCAGAATTTGCCCCAACTGTGTATGCACAGTTATTGCAGTTATTTTTAGTCTATTTTCTTAGCATTTTGTTGCTCAAGGAGACATTTGTCCAGGTGTAAGCCTTGCAGCACTGGAGCAAAGGGCCCCAGGTCCCACCCTGTCTCAGAAGCACACAGCACATATCTGGCTTATCTTTTACTTTATATTTTATCTGGCATATCTTTCATTTCATATCTGGCTTGTCTTTCTCAGCCTAATGCTTTCGATATTTATTCAAGTTGTTACATGTATCAGCAGTTTGTTCTTTTTTGTTTTTCAATGGAGTAGTTCTTAATTATACGGATTAAGACATTTTGTTATCTGCTTATCAGTTGACGGTCATTTCTGGTTTGGGGCTATTATAAACAAAGTTGCTAATAGTCACATACAGTTTTTTTTTAATATAATTTTATTTATTTTCGGCTGTGCTGGGTCTTTGTTGCTGCACATAGGCTCTTGTCTAGTTGCAGTGCGCAGACCTCTCATTGTGGAGGCTTTTCTTGTTGCAGAGCACAGGCTCCAGGGCTCATGGGCTTTAGCAGGCTCAAAAGTTGCAGTTCCCAGGCTCTAGAGCACAGACTCAGAAGTTGTGGCACACAGCCTTGGCTGCTCCGCAGCACATAGGATCTTCCCAGACGAGGGATTGAAACTGTGTCTCCTGCATTGGCAGGCAGATTCTTTACCACTGAGCCACCAGGGAAGCCCCTAGTCACATACAGATTTTTTTTTTTTTTGTCACATACAGATTTTTGAGTGGGACATATATTTTCATTTCCTCTGGGTAAATACCGTGGGATTTCTGGGTCGATGGTAAGTGTGTGCTTAATTATATAAGAAACTCTAAAACTGTTTTCCAAAGTATATTATACTATTTTACACTCCTACCAGCAATGCTCAGACATTTTGAGAAACTGCAGTAATATATGTCTAGCCCAGAGCCAGCACAATATACATGTTCTATTTCTCTCCTTCCCCAACACCCCAAAATGAGGTGTGTGGGTGATATTTTCAGGGAGAGAAGGCAGACTCTAATTTACCTGTAATCTGGGCATTTCCTCCTCTTCCTGAAGAAGGACAGAGTCTTCAGAAGGCAGTGCTGGGTAAAAAGAAAAAAGCAGTGAAAAATGAACTTGGCTCACTGAAACAGACGAGTATCTTAGTTACCAAGAAGGGAGAAGGGGGCATGTTATATTCAGTTGGTGACACTGGTCCTCGTTTACCATTACCTGACACACCCTTGCTTAGAAAGATTTTTCCTCTTTGTACTTTCACAGACAGCCTTTCAAACCTGATACTTTCTCCCCAGCCCCCCAAACACTCACTGAATACCTACTATGTGCTTCAGCAGTGATTTAACTCTCACCTTTCTCCTTAGCCTCTGAGGTCACTCCAGCTTCAACGTGGTCCCACATCCTGCCCGCCCTGTTAGGAAGGGAATCCCCGCAGCCCAGTGGCTCTGCTGGGGGAATCTCTCTTCAGCCTCTCCAAGCTCCACCTGGAACATCCAGAGGGAGTTTCAGGAGGTGTTGTCTCCACGAAAGACGGAACTCCTGCATGTGGGGGGCCTCCTGCGGCCTTCATGCTCAGGTAGCTGTTTTGTTCCTGTAGGCAGGAGAGGAAATGTCCCAGCAGCCCAGACTTCAGGCTAGGGCCTGGACTTCTCTATTTAAGTGAGGGCGGTGTTAATGAACTAAAGCATAGTTAAGGTGATAAACATTTACTAAGCATCCACTGTGTACAAGGCATGCCCCTACTTCCCAGGGGTACCCAGCTCTGACTTTCTCAGGACTGTAGCTTCACAGGTTGATCCAGTCACAGGGCAGCAAATGCTGCCACCTCTGTGAAGATTTCCTGAAAACTTCCCACTGTGGGATGCATGCGTGCATGCTGTCACTCAGTCATGTCCGACTCTTTGTGACACTATGAACTATATAGCCCACTAGACTCTTCTGTCCATGGAATTCTCCAGGCAATAATACTGGAGTGGGTTGCCGTTTTCTCCCTCAGGGGATCTTTCTGACCCAAGGATCAAACCAGTGTCTCCTGCATCTCCTGCATTGGCAGGCGGATTCTTTACCGCGGCACCACCTGGGAAGCCCCACTTTGGGATGTTAGTTGCTCAGTTGTGTCTGACTTGTCAAAATCCCATGGACTGCAGTCCGCCAGGCTCCTCTGTCCATGGGAATTTCCAGATAAAAATACTGGAGTGGGTTGCCCTCTTCTTCTCAGAGAATCTTCCCAACCCAGGGATAGAACCAGGGTTTCCTGCATTGCAGGCAGATTTTTTACCATGTGAGGCACCAGAGAAGCCCTTTGGGATACAGATCTATAATTCTCAAAAGATGAACTTGTGAAATTCTTGAATTTCTCTTTTTTTTTTGCTACCAGATCAGTAAATGTTTCAAAATCTGAAAACCTTATCATCAGAGAGGCTGTGGGAAAATGATCAGTCTTTTATGCTGTTAGAGTGTAAGTAGGTACAGTCTTCTGGAGGAGAGCAATTTGACTGTGTCCATCAAATGGAGGGGGCAGGTAGGGTCAGGAAGCAGGGTTATGAAAGTGAACAAGGAAACTTTAGGAGGTGATAAGATATATTGGTCATCTTGACTGAGATGATGGTTTCATGAGTGTATTAAAATGTCAAAATATATACAATTGAACACTTTAAATACATGTAGTTTATCATGTGTCTGTACTTAGAAGGGCTTTGCAGAGATATAGCCAGGCCTGTGACTCACATGTCATGTGTGATACCAAACTCACAACCGGGATACCTCCACCTTTTACACCTGGAACTGTAACTTCTACTGAGACAAGAAAGGACACACAACTCCCCTTTGGCCCTCACTGGTCAAGAGTGTGGAGAATCCTCTTTTGCAGAAAACTGGGAGGTGACTGAGGGCTTCCCCAGTGACTCGGTGGGTAAACAATCTGCCTGCAATGCAGGAGACACAGGAGACGTAGGTTTGATCCTTGGGTTGAGACAATCTCCTGGAGGAGAGCATGACCAGAGCATTTCCAGTATTCTTGCCTGAAGAATCCCATGGACTGAGGAGACTGGTGGGCTACAGTCCATAGAGTCGCAAAGAATCGGAAATGACTGATTGACGAAACACGCATACACATGGAAGTGACCATAGGTGTGACCTTCCTGGCTTCGCTACCCCAGAGGCAAGTACCCAGGGGAAGGTCATTTAACTCCAAAGCATCTGGGAGCTTAGAGAAGCTGCTGACCACTTTGAGCTCAGGAGTTTCTCAGACGCAAAGTGGCAACAAGCCTTTGGCAATCCATAGAGGGCCTGGCTGGAGAAGAGCCCATCCTGGTGTCCAAGACAATCTGCCCATCCCTCTGATCCCTAGGCTCACTTATAGAAAAAGCCCACTGAGGGACTTCCCTGGTTGTCCAGTGGCTAAGACTCTGTGCTCTCAATGCAGGGGGCTCAGGTTTGATCCCTAGTCAGGGAACTAGATCCCATATGCCACAACTAAGAGCTCTGATGACGCAACTAAAGATCTCGCATGACACAAGGAAGATCTAAGATCATGTGTGTAGCAACTAAGACCCAGCACAGCCAAATTAAAATAAATTTTTTTAAAAAGAAGTGTTAAAAAAATAAAAGCCTAGTGAGTAAGAAATGAAGGTGGTTTCACAGGAGCACCTACAACAAAAGTGGGGATACAAGATTTTGCCCCCCTCCTCAAAGTCCAAGTTATCTCCAAAATAAGAGACACCAGAACATATTGTCACCATAAACATCAAACCTCACGACTTCCCTGTTGGCTTAGACAGTATGAATCTACCAGGAACACAGGAGACCCAGGTTTGATCCCTGGGTCGGAAAGATCCCCTGGAAAAGGGAATGGCTACCCACTCCAGTATTCTTGCCTGGAGAATTCCATGGACAGAGGAGCCTAGTGGACTACAGTACACGGGGTGGCACAAGTCGAACACGACAAGCGACTAACACTTTATTGACCCCTACTACATCTCAAACCAAGGGGCACTTCCTAACTCCTCTCCAGGGCTCCAAACATCTAGCTGCCCTCATAAACACCTAAGAACTTACAGCCCCATGAGCGGCCCCTCTGCACTAAGAATGCCGCCTGCCAGATCAGTAAACAAAGGATGTTGTGGCCAGCTAGTCAGCAGCCACTGCAGCCAGCCCCAACTGTGCACCCTGAGCAGAATCAAGCCGGAGACAGGCACATTTACCCTAGATAGTTGAGGTGCATATCAAAGGAATGACTTCAGGGAGCCCAGACTCCTGCACTTCGTCATACAAAGAAAATCGCGTAGTTCATTAACTTTAGCTGTCCGTTTTTTTCTAATTAACAGTAATCGTTTCTTGTTCTAACTACTGGGTTTTCTCGCAAAACCCCTATAATCCTGGCTCCTCCTTACCTCTTCAGAGCAGTCCCTCACAGCCATCTGAGAAAGGCCACCAGATAAAACATAAACTTTTAGGTTGTCCGTTTTTTTTTTTTCCAGTCAACACTCCCAAAGCCCTGGACCCTGCCTCACCGTCCCTTCCCCACCAACCTGGGGTTGCAAAGCCCCAGCTGCCTCGCCAACCAAAATGCCCGGCAAAGGCTGTCCCACAAATGCAAGGAACCCTGCCCTCCAGCCCTTCAACCCATGGATGCCTGCAGGCCACCAACCTCGGGACCATCGTCGCAGCCATTCACCCCTATTTCAACAAAACCAAGATGCTCCCTGCGTCGCCCCTCAGACCCAGCGACTACCGGACCTTCGGTTTTCGCCTTCCCGCACGATCCGGGGACCTTCGGCTATTCTCGCTGCCTTCAGCCAGTAAAATTGGGGGACTCACCTCTCTACGCCTGGAGGTCTTGGGCATGGAGGCCGCCACGGGGCCTTCAGCAGCCTTCGTTCCACGCAATGAGCCCGATACACCCGCACCGCCGACCCAGAAGGCCCAGCCGATGGGGTCTGGGCGCAAGCGGGCGCGGAGGCCTGGCGGCTGGACCACATCTCCCAGAAGCCCCTGCGCAGGCCGGGAAGCTCTCCAAGCCCCGCCCCAAGGCGCGATCGGGGCGTGGCGAGGCCAGCGCAGGTGAGCTCCGGGTCTCACGTGGAAACAGCTAGCTTGCGAGAGCTGGGCGTACAAACACAAAACCAGACAAGCGCCTCGTCTAACTGTCTACAACCGGAAATAACAAAACACCTGTAATTTCTCGATTCAGGCATAAGTATGTTTAAGCTTATATGCGTGCAGTGCTGTGTCACTTCAGTCGTGCAGGACTCTGCGAAGCTATGAACTGTAGCTTGCCAGGCTCCTCTGTCCACGGAATTCTCCAGGCAAGAATACTGGAATGGGTTGCCATGACCTCCTCCAGGGGATCTTGCCGATTCAGAAATCGAACCCAACTCTCTTGCCTCTCCTGCGTTGGCAGGAGGGTTCTTTACCACGAGGTCCACCTTGGAGGCTCCTAAGCTTATATCCTTTCATATAAATATTTGTCCTCTTTGTTGTTCAGTCGCGAAGTCTCGGCTGACTCTTTGAGATCGCATGAACTGCAGCATGCCAGGCTTCCCTGTCCTTCACTACTTGTCTTCTTAACCTGCTTTTAAAATCATATATATTGAACATTGTGTTCTTCCACAATGTTTTGTAAATTCTACATGCCTTCTATGTAATTAATGTATTATCTCATTTTTGTTAGGTTGCTTCAAATTACTAGTATTGCAGCCACCACTGCTTATGTTTGTCACTGACTCAAAAGCAGGGAACCGGCAAAGCTTTATACTGAAAAAAAGGGAAGGCTTCAGGTGTATTTTAATCAGAGGTCATTGTCCAAGAGAAGCTAGAGGTGGGCCAGCTACAAAAAGTGCAACTTCTGTGGTTGGTTTGGAGATGGTGATTTGGTTTTCTCTGGTTGGTTCTGAGTTGGAAGCGGAGGCAAAAGATAGGGAAGCTAGCAGTTACTGACCAAGTCCTGAGAGTTCTGCACTGATTGTTGCCAAGTTTGTAGTTTGGTTTTCTGGTTTCTGCAGAGTTTGTGGGTCAGAGTTCTATCATCATATACAATCTGGCATTGTCTGTTTGTATATCTGTTCTTTCAACTTTAGTGGTTTCAAACAACAGCAATCATTTATTATCTTTCATGGTTTTTCTGGGTCAGGAATTCAGAAACCGCCTAGCTGGACAGTTCTGGCTCAGACTTTTTTTCTTGATGGCTAAACCTGGAACAGTGTGAAGTTCCAGCAACAACTCGAAGCTGGCTGGACATCTCTTATTTCGTGTAATCTCAAGGGTTTGTCCATGTGATTTTTCTGTGTGGGCTAGTTTGAGCTTCTTAACAGCATGGTAGACTTAGACACCTTATACTGCAGCTCAAGGTCCTGAGAAAGATCCAGATGGAAGATGAATCACCTCTTATGGCTAGTCTCAGAATCACAGAGCATCATTTCCTCTGTACTTAAACAGTTTTAAAAAGTCCATCCAGATTCAAGGGGAAAGAACATGCACTCCACTTCCTGATGGGAAAATGATAAGTTCTGGAAGACCATGTGGAAACAAAAATATACTTACGGCAATTTTTGGAAAATACAATTTGCCATGAACTGCAAACAGATCAAAGCAGAGAAAGCATTTTTAATTTCACTCTGCTATGAAGACTGGAGTAACAGGCAAATTTGGCCTTGGAGTACAGAATAAAGCAGGGCAAAGGCTAATAGAGTTTTGCCAAGAGAACCCACTGGTCATAGCAAACACCCTCTTCCAACAACACAAGAGAAGACTCTACACATGGACATCACCACATGGTAAACACCGAAATCAGATTGATTATATTCTTTGCAGCCAAAGATGGAGAAGCTCTATACAGTCAGCAAAAACAAGACCAGGAGCTGACTGTGGCTCACACAATGAACTCCTTACTGCCAAATTCAGACTTAAACTGAAGAAAGTAGGGAAAACCACTAGACCATTCAGGTATGACCAAAATCAAATCCCTTATGACTATACAGTGGAAGTGAGAAATAGATTTAAGAGGCTAGATCTGATAGACAAACAGCCTGATGAACTATGGACGGAGGTTCATGACATTGTACAGGAGACAGGGATTAAGACCATCCCCATGGAAAAGAAATGCAAAGAGGCAAAATAGTTGTCTGAGGAGGCCTAACAAATAGCTGTGAAAAGAAGAGAAGCGAAAAGCAAAGGAGAAAAGGAAAGATATTCCCATTTGAATGCAGAGTTCCAAAGAATAGC